TATTATGGGTTATACATACCTATTGACCCTTCCTATTCTCCCATCCAAGTACTAACCAGGCCCGACCCTGCTTAGCTTCCGAGATCAGACGAGATCGGGCGCGTTCAGGGTGGTATGGCCGTAGACGACCCTTCCTATTCTCAAGCCTGTTTTATGCACTGTTAAAATCCAGGCGATAGGCATTTGTACTTTGGGTGATCTACTGAAATTATAGCCGAGAGAACTTTAGGATCATTTATAGATTTCTGTAATAATTCCTATTATATTAACTTCTAACTGGAGCAAAGAAAAATAATATATATATATATATATATATATATATATATATATATATATATTTTCCTGTGTTTATAATCCTCATGCACTTGTTTGTCTCTCTCACAATTCTAGAAATGTGTAAACAATGTCTTATGACCTTTTACTTACCACAAGTAACTAAACTAAGGTAATAAATAATTGTACAAATGAAGAGTACATTCTCAATAATCTATATAATCAGGAAGACCCACTATTCATGAAAAGCAGTAATTTGTTAAATTATCTGTAATGCGAAACATAAGGCATTCTATGATTTTTCACACCTTATCCTTGAAATTTTGTTTTGTTTTCTCAGCTTTCATTTATGAGACTTTTATCTTGCTTAGTATGACTTTACAAGTATATTATTCTACTTTACCATGTATATAACCTAACTTCTTTGAATCTATTGGCAAGTAAACATATAAAACTTAGATAATGAAGCAGAAAATTACAAAATGGACTGAAATCAGACATTAATTAGTATTTTGACATGCCAAATAGTATTCTTTGTCTCACAATTTTACTTGCTAATTAACATTTTTCTGAGTTATAAAATTATATAACTAAACTTAAATAAAATAGTCTATTAACTAAGTAACTATTGGAAAGTGTGTTGCTAAGAATATTCAATAGAGGAAAGATATACTTTATTTGGACAGAACCCAATTTAAATATTTTTGCCTCCAAGCAATCATTGAAAAAACATAAAATAACATAAAAATAAATAAATGTCAGTGTTTTAGGTAGGTCCCATTTGCAGCATGACCTGCCAAGAATAGGAAAGAAATTCTTCATGAGATTGAGACCTTTATTTTGATATGTAAGAAAATTCTAAAAGAATATCATATTATTAAACCCTATCTTAAATGTTCACCACTGGAAAAGGAAGCACACTTTTATATTATTCAATATTTTCTGACTTACATTAAATGATTTCCTAACACTGGTGATAAGGGTGGTCATTGGTATCAAGAAGAAATGTTATGATGAATTAAAACAGGTAATTTACTAGGTCTCTTTGAATAAAGAGGATCCGTGATTTCAGAGTTTATTGTTTAGCACTTGTAAACATTGGGAAATATTTGAAATTATTATTTTTACCATTACTGCTACATTGTCCATTCCTGTGCTGACATGTGATATGTGGATATAGCAATTAGCTTTACAAACATAAAAATTCAACTCAATTTTTCTAATTAACTTTTTTTTATTTTTTCAGAGAGAACGAGATGTCTCATAAGAGAGAAAGTAAAATATAATTAATTTTGAAAATAAAATTACAGTATAAGTACACTGGCATTGATGTACATCTCCAAATATAAAATAGCATCATAATTCTTTATCTCCACTAAAAGAATCTTCTTATTTTAATGGTAGTCTGTAACCTTCACAATAAACTTGCCTCATTTTTCTGGGTATGCAACATTTAATGAGACGATTTTTGTTTTCCCTCAGGTAAATATATATATATTTGTATTTGTCCTTAGTCTTATGATGTATAATCTCCACCAAAAATTGGGTCTATAACATAGCTTACATATTCCTTTCCTAATCAAGGTTATATATCCATACACATAGATTGTTATTTTAAATGGTAGGCCTAGTCAGCTAATCCAAATATAGACTGTGGGTCTCAGATGCTAGAGCAATCAGTATGAAAAATACCCAAAAGACTTCTCATCCCAGAGGTTATTCCTTCAGTTGTTCTTATAATATTGATGGACAATAGAGATGACTATATATTTGCCTCTCTTTCTTCTCTGAATTCTTATAAGCTAAACATTACTATCTTGCTCATGAGACCTAATACTTAAGACCTAAGAATATCACTAGGAAGAAACATCTGCTTTTTTATGTTCCCAAAGATTTTGAAAAATCATGCATCTAAAAGGTAAATTAGAATAGCTAAATGGTTAAAAATCTGGGTTCTGCACTTAGGATCCCTGGATTTTAAACATGCTTTATGCATTTACTAATGATGTGACGTTGGAAAAGTCCTTCAGTGTTTGAGTTCCCTTCTGTGTAAATTGGGATACTAACAATAGCTGCTTTATATAGCAGTGGTGAACATTAAATTGGAAAATCCATGTAAAGGGATTAGAATAGTTTTTAGTAAAATGTTTAGCACTTGTAAACGTTGATAAATATTTGCAATTATTATTTTTACGATTACTGCTATATTACCCATTCCTGTGCTGGCATGTGATATGCTCTCTGTTTAAATATGCTGATATTTTCTGTGTGTGTGATGGTTACACAGCCAAGACAGGCACTGAGAATGAAGCAAAACCTCTCAGTCTTACAAGGCTAAACACAGTGGTTGCACCTCCATATTTTTTACAAAATAACCATTAAAAAATATCTCTCTCTTTGAGATTCATTAAGAACCACATCATCTCTTCTATGAGTTTGCCTTTTGATGAGAATTTTTTGTCTTTTTCCCCCTCATCTGAACTGTGTGAGAGAGAGACAGAAAAAGAGAGATAGAGAGGGAGGGGGAGAGTAAGAGGGAAGGGAAGAAATAGTACGACGGAGAATAGATTGAAATATTTGTTGATCTACACATTAATAATATATAATCATTGCCCAGCCATGTGCTCAGTGATTAAACTTCAACCCACATGCCCAGAGGTTACCCATTCAATTCCCTGTCAGGGTACATGCCTGGGTTGCGGGCTTGACTTCCAGCAGGGAGTGTGCAAGAGGCAGCTGATCAATGTTGATGTTTTTCTCTCATAGTTGTTTCTAATTCTCTCTCCCTCTCCCTTTTCTCTCAAAAAATAAAACATACATTAAATAACAATAATAATAAATATAATAATGTGATAATGGGTCCTACTTCCTTATTAAGGGCTAGAATATTTGAAAAGAATTTCAATTAATTCAAGGGGTGATAATTAGAGATCTTGAGATACAGTGTAGTTTTTCATCTACCTAAAGGTGTGACAAACTCACATGAAAGCCAGAGCCATGCAGATTCTAGATTTTGATGGTTCTTTGTCAATAAGTAGCATTTATTATTCATAACTTTGAAACTTTCTAAGATTTGCAGTCAAAAAATCTTCATAAGTATAGTTGGTACCTTTGTAATCTACTACTTTTGGTTACAAACTTGACTAATTAAATTAATATTTCATAGTCCTCGTAAATAATTTTACATGTCAGTTATTCTTTTTTTAATATATTTTATTGATTTTGTACAGAGAGGAAGGAAGAGAGACAGAGAGTTAGAAACATCGATGAGAGAGTCATTGATCAGCTGCCTCTTGCATACCCCCTACTGGGGATGTGCCCACAACCAAGGTACATGCCCTTGACCAGAATCGAACCCGGGATCCTTCAGTTCCCAAGCCGATGCTCTATCCATTGAGCCAAACTGGTTTCAGCACATGTCAGTTATTCTTTTAAGAAAAGCAATTATATTTTATGATTTGTGCTATATTAAAAATAAGAACTGCTGTTATTTTTTAAAAGTTGATATTATTTTATCAGAGAATATGAAAAGTAGAAACTCTGTAGAAAGCTTTTAATAATAGGTATTGAATAATTATCCTAATATTCTTCAGTTACTTTCTTGTTCTGAATGAAAATAGCTAATACTCTGATATTTGTTTTCTTTGACTCTATTTTATGATCCTTGATATTTAATGCTTACTCAGGTATGGATAATATTACAATTTTAGCTTAACATTAAATTTCACTTTAATTCAATCATTATCTTCAAGAGTTCAAATGAGAGACAGATGAATATAACTTTTTTTTCTTTATTGTAGATAAATTAGGCCAAATGAACATATTTTATGTCCTTAGGATGAAAACAAGAATAGGTGTTTTCATGATGGCTCCAGTTATATATCACTCTACCATCCAACCCATCTCCTTCCATTAAATTTGTTCATCACAGAGTGGAATATTAATTCTCTTCAGTGTTATATACAGTTCTGTGAAAAGATAAAAAGTTGTGTTTGGGATTTAAGAATTTATTATCAAGTTAGAATGGCAAAAAATATATATATACCTAATACAGTTAAAAGTTTAAAACTCATATACATCAATTATGTGAATATAGCAATTAGCTTTACAAAAATAAAAGATTCAACTCAATTTTTCTTATTAACTTTTTATTTTTTCAGGGAGAACAAGAGGTCTCATAAAAGAAGAAGTGGTTTGCCCATACACATTTAGTTTTTTAGTAATTTTTCTCAAAATATTTTATTCTCCTTCTATCTCATCATGCCAAATAATGATTAGGACTTGAGTAGGAAGAGAGATTACTCATTTTCTACTATTACTTACATTCTTTTCTCTCTGTTTTCTACATAACAGACTTTAACTACCTCTCTATAACAACAGCCAACTATACATCCACTCCCCTCATTGCATTTCTGCTAACTGGAGTCCCCGGATTAGAAGATTTGCAAATCTGGATCTCCATCCCTTTCAGCTTTATGTACCTTTTGGCTGTGATAGGCAATGGCCTGGTTATGGCAGTGGTGGCCTGGGACAGGAGTCTCCATGAACCCATGTATTTATTCCTGGCCATGCTGGCACTCAATGATGTCCTTCTTTGTACTGTCACGGTGCCCAAAATGCTTCTCATCTTCTGGCAGGGCCCTTCCTCGTCAACGTTTCCCGCATGTCTCACACAGATGTTTTTTGTTCACGCTCTGTTCCTCTCTGAATCTGCTATTCTGCTGGCCATGGCTTTTGATCGCTATGTGGCTATCTGTGCACCACTCCATTATGCAACCCTATTTACAGGCTCTCTCATCAGCAAGGTGGCCTTGGCTCTGGTGTTTCGAAGCGTGGCTGTAGTCACCCCTGGTGTCCTCCTCATTCTTCGCCTGCACTTCTGCCGGAGCAATATTATCCGCCATACCTACTGTGAGAACATGGTCATTGCCAAGTTGGCCTGCAATAGCATTGCCCTTAATAGCATTTATGGGCTCACTGCAGCTCTCCTCACTACAGGGCTGGACTTTGTTCTCATATCCCTGTCCTACTGGGTGATCCTGAAAACAGTCTTTAGACTCCCGTCTAGAGAAGCCCAAACAAAGGCCTTTGGAACCTGTGGAGCTCATCTATGTGTCATCTTGATATTCTACACTCTGGCCTTCTTTTCCTTCTTTACCCATCGCTTTGGAAAACATGTGCCCAGGCACACCCTTATTCTCTTAGCAAACCTCTACTTACTGGTGCCACCTACCATGAACCCCATTGTTTATGGGGCAAAGACTAAACAGATAAGGGTGAAACTATTAGAGCTCTGTAACCATTCAAAATGATCCAAGGGTTACAAACCAATGAGAACAGGGAGTCCAGGACGGAGGACTAAGCTTAAATGTCATCTGAATTAATCTGGACAGATCATTTTCCAGAACACCTAACCTCTGGATAGAGTTCGAAATATTCATATTTCCAAGTGATAGCTCCCAAACACTGAGGAATGGGAAACTAAAGGAACCATTCAGGTTCCATCAAGAAATATCTCAGCATATTAAGGTAATAAACACTGGAATATCACTCTAACAGCATAGAGGGTTTGGGTATCATTTTTATAATACACAATGCCTCTTCTGTGACAGTTTGCTATAGACAGGACAAAATGTAAAATCCATAAATTCAAGTATTGATTCTGATCCTAAACTTATCATTACATTCGAGGACCCAGAATATACAAATAAATATTTGTTTACTAGATAAATGCCTTAGCTAATCAAATAATAAATCCTAATGATTCCAAAGTACTTCATTTCTTTTCAGAAATCATCCTCTAAGATTCCAATATATATATATATATATATATATATATATATATATATATATATATATATATATCCTTCAATTTCTCAGTTTAATAAAGATTTTTTTTGTTGTTGTTACACATAACAGAAATTTACCCTGATTGGGTTAAGTAAACAAAAAAGCAGGTTCTGAGTAATGTCATGGCATCCAAGGATAATTTGAAGATCTATGACTCAGGAAGGACAAAAGCCAGGCTGCTCTAGGGCCTCAACAGCAGGAAGCATGAACTTTTCTCATAGATTTGGTGATATTCTTCTGTCCCATCTGCAATGATTATGGGACAAGAAATATAATTGCTCCCTATGGAGTCAGGTTGCTAGACCTGTATCAATCAGTTATATCACTTCATATTCTGATTTAATAGGAATGAAACTTTGGCAGAATAATTTTCAAAAGAAGAAATTATGGCAAATAGTCATAATCACATTCACTGGATTCATGTGGCTCTTATATAAGCACATGTAAATTTCCTAGTTTAGCTCTTTCCACACCAAACATTCTTGCTAACTGCATTCTACAGCATTTGGCACGTACTTTATTATCTGTAAACCTATCTGCCATAATTCATAAATTTAGTGTAAATATATACATGGTCTAGTGGTTGAATTAATTGGATTGAATGGCCTTGAAAGTACTTTATATCATTCTCTTTATAAATGCATATGGTTCTAGATTCTATGTTTATACTTGTTCAAAGATGAAAACTAAATAAAGGGGAAAAGGAATACTTTTCAACATTTGTATAGATCTTAATAATAAGCACTATGTCATGTGTCTGCCCGGGGTTTGGGGAATAAATTGGTCTGTTTCCTGAAGAAAAAAAAGAAAGTACTATGTTCTTATATCTTATTCCAGCTACTGTTGGAACTGTACTTCAGTTTATTACCTGTAAAAATCAGCATTATTCTTTATGCATTTAATTATTATTGAATATATAAATGATAAAGAAATGAATGAAGAGTAATGAAATGAATCATGAAATAAAGAATGACTAGTTGGGTGTATTTGTTTTTTGTTTTTTATCTTGGAAGAAAATATTTTACCTGTCATGAGCCCACATCTCATATATCAACATTTTTATTTCAAAATTTAGGCATATGGAATTTCCAAGTATCTATTTCTGCTCTCTGGTTTTAATTCAAGTATATTTGTTCCCACCCCTCTTTACCCTACTTCTTAATTCTATTTCTAATTACCCCTCTCCTTTAGCACATTCACCTTGATAAAAGAGATAACAACTAAAAATAAAGCAAATTATGTGAATATAAAAATCAGATATTATTTGCTATAATAAATTAAATTGATACTAAAAAAGGACATTTTGAGGAGAATGCAAACATTACCATTAGCTGTACATTGTTTGTATAAGTAACATTTAACTATTTATAAACATCTTTAATTTAAGATCTTCAAATGCAAAATATGCTTTTAACCTATGGATGCTGAATACACCATTTTTAGTACTTATACTCCAAAAATGAAAGTTTTATCAAAATTTTGACAAAATATATTTTATGTATCCAATTAGTCATCTTTATAAATTGCTGTTGAGTAAGTTTTGTAGGCCGTCTACTTCATCCAAGCTTTCATTCATAATTTTTCCTCAGCTCTGCATACTTCTGTATTGACTGATCATTGCTCCCACTGCACACTCTGATTCTTTGATTAGGCTGGTTTCAGTTCTTAAAACTATTCGAACAATATAAAAGTCACACAGGTGCCATAGCTGCTTTGGCTCAGGGGATATAACGTCAGCCTATGGACTGAAGGCTCCTGGGTTTGATTCCAGTCAAGGTCATATGCCTGGGCTGCAGGCTCAATCCCTAATAGGTACAGGAGGCAACCAATCAATGATTCTCTATCATCATTGATGTTTCTATTTCTCCCTCTCCCTTCTTCTCTGAATTCAATAAAAAAATATTTTTTAAAAAAGTCACACTGGTCCCATAATAGTTAACATCTATAAATATATAAACCCAGTGACCAGAATGTGATAATGACAGAAATGATAGAACAACTGTTTGCTATGATGCCCACTGAGGCCTGCCATCTGGACGATCAGGGAAAGGGCCAATAGCCAACCTCCTGCAGCCCCTCCCCTCAGCCAGCCTCACCCCCATTGGCCTCTCCTACCTTGAACAAGGGTGCCTGCCAACCTTCTGCAGCCTCTCCCCACAGATGACCACACCCCAAAGGTTTATTTTGAAGCTTGCCTTGTACAAGCCTTTCTGATTCATTCACTATGCAGTATGGCCTCAGGGTTTATCTTGGCCATGGCCTTTGATCGGTATGTGGCAATCTGCAATCCTCTGAGACACACAGAGTCATCAAGAACTTGGGGCTGACTGTTGTCTTCCATAGGGCTTTGCTTTTCAGTCCTCAACCCTTCATGCTTCGCTGGCTTTCCTATTGCAGAACTAATATCATTCCTCACACATACTGTGAATTTATGGCCTTGATCAAGCTTGCCTGTGCAGACCAGGATCTACAGACTATATAGCGTAACTGCTGCCTTCTTTACTGGGGGTTTAGATTTCATATTAATTCTATGTTTCTATATTGTCATCCTTTATACTGTTTTCCATCTTCTATCCAAGGCTGCTCAACTCAAGACCTTGGGGACCTGTGGATCCCATGTGTGTGTAATTTTAGTAGCCTATACTCCAGCCTTTTTCTCTTTCTTTATTCACCGATTTGGACACCATGTGGCTCCTCACATTTATATATTTGTGGCTAACATCTACCTGCTTATCCCACCTATGGTGAACCCAATGATCTATTGCATAAGAACCAAGAGGATCAGAGACCAATTTCTTCAAATTTTGACTCCTCACAAATTATAAAATATCTAAGTCTTCCCTTAATACATTTTTAAGACTTATGGGGGGATGGGGAGAGGAAGACATTAACCCTCTTTATAGAAGGCTGAATTCCTACATTTCCTATTTGTAATCTGTAAAGTACAGTATTAGTAAGCACTGACTAAATTCTGTTCTACTAAAAAATATATATTTTTGCCTGATAATGCAATATCTCCATTATTATGTGATAACATATGTTTGCTCCCACAGTGTATTCTGTTTTGTCTTATTAACTTTATCCAAGCTGTGTTATTGACTCATTAACTCTGACTTTCACTGATACATTTGTAGGATTTAATTAATGGAGTTGTCTACATCTCCTGGACAATAAAATTAAAAGCATTTTAATCTATAACTTTGGAAGTTGAAATAATATGCCTCCCAGAGGCGATCCTGCAATTTTTTTGTGACATATTATTTTATTATATATAGCTAGAATCATTTTAACATTTCTAAATAATAACATTTCTCACAAATACCCCACAGAAGACATAATGATATCCAATATTGTTCCACTATTTTTTCTTTTTCTATTTCTTCATTGTGGTTCAAGTTCTTTAAAAATATCTATAGCTCCCTTTCCCATTCTTTGATCATCTCCCAACCTATTTATATATATAAAAGCGTAAGTGACCTTTCAACCATTCTACTGTTCAGTCGGTAGCTATGACCCACACTGATCACCAAGGAGCAGAAGCTCCAATCGGTAGGTTACCTTGCTGCTGAGGTCTGGCTGACTAGGACTATATGAGACAGGTCAGACATATCCTGAAGCCCTCCTGCAGTCACTCCCCAGCCTCGATCATGCATCGGTGGGTTCCTTCAAATTGGCTTGTGCCTTCTCTCAATCTGGGACCCTTGGGAGGAGGTAGGAGACCTGTAGGCCAGGCTGAGGGATGCAACCAGTACACAAATCTGTGAACTGGACCTCTAGTATTATATAATAGAGAAACAGTTTGTTTTGGTATTTCCTCATAATTTATAATCTAGCCACTGTTGACTGTGATATCATCCATTTTTCTTTTTTTGAAGATGAATAACTCATATTTATATAGAATATCATATAGAATTAGATATTATGAGTATATAATACAATTTAGCATTTTATTACTACACTACTTTTGATGGTAACTCAAATAGTTTGGCATTAAGCCATAGTTTAAAAATTCATACTATTGTGGAATAAACAAAGGAAGCAGAAATGATTCATTCAGAACTTGCTTAACCACAGTACTATAATTGTTTGCCTTTTGCAGAGATTCAAAGGCTGTCGAAATGGTAAGAAAATTTTAGAGGGAATGCAAGGGAAGGTTTGAGGTATGCTCTGAATGGAAGTTGTCAGCATATCAAAACTGAAAGTGGGTTAACTAGAAGTGGGCTTCTTCCGTGATTGGCTTAGGAGACATATTTGGCTGCCTCTAGTTGATCATGGAGACAAACACAACTAGGAAGTTGGCAGTTGTTGATCAAATTCTGACTTTTTTGCATTAATTGCTGGAGAGGTTGTGGGTAGGACTTCTGGGCTTCCCATGTGGATCAGAGTTCATTGTCATATAAGGTCTGGCCACTTCCCATTTGTTTATTCAGTCTCTGATAGAAAAGTAATTATAAGAAAAAGT